ACAAAAAAAATGGAATCTCCTCCAGCATTGACTCTGCATGAGATGCGCAAGCGAGGTGAAACCATAGCACGTAGAGGGGACTGGTTTCCCACTGGATAAGATCAAACCAACGATTTTCGGCTTCAGAGTAGCGTTAATTGCTACTATAGGAAGCAGGTGCACCGCATGCAGTACTACACGCAGTAGTGGACCTGGCTAAATACAATTAGTAAAAAATAAAAGAAAAAACTACGATAAAACACCAGGATGAAAAAAAAAACGTCAGAATCGTTGGAAGGCTGTCCAACAGGTAATGCAGCATCGGTCAAAACAACCTCAAAATAAAAAACGAAAAGTGCGCGGTTTTTGGCTACAGCACTGGATCATCAGCAGTAATGAAGTAGTAACCTTTTTGGACATCGATAAGTATGACTGAAAAGCACGAAATCCCTGGGAAACACTGCAGAAGTGAATGAACTTACCTGCATCGACAAGCTCTCGCTTGGCGCCTGGATGCGATGTGAGCAATACTCCCGGAGCAATTCCGTGACTTTTCAATGCAGTTGGTGCGGCGCATATCGCCGCTATAAAACGACCGGCTTCGTGTTGTGCTCGCAATATTGCACCGACTTCATCCGACTGAAAGTTCTGTTGATTTTTTAGATATGTCTCTTTCTGTAGATGGTGATGCTAGCATGGCTTCCTCACTCTACTGCAAGACTGATCTTTTTGCCTGCCCTCTTAATAAGTACAATCTAAATGTGAAACACATAAGATTTCGTAAATGTTAAGTATGTTTCATACGTCATCAGAGTCCAATATTGGTTTGTCCTCTATGAATCGTTCATTCATTTCTACGGTAAATTGCTATGCCAAGGAGTCAAACCTGCCGTCAGTTTGCTTCTAAGCAACTCTTACAAAAGACACTCTCAGCAGCGTTGTCAGTGCTGGCACTTACTACTACTCGGGCTACTTATTGTTCCGCCTCTCATAGTAGGTGAAAAAAAAAATGAGGATTTTACTTCTATTCGGGATTATCTGTCAAATTACACTCGAATATCTCGTAGAACACGCAGTAATTGTGTCAAGCATTGTGCTATACATGAATAAATAGCAGCGCGCACTAGAATAGCCGGTGCGAATATATGTTTTTTGCAATTCCGTTCACCGGACAAATACCCGATAATGATTTTCACTGCTTTGTAGTTTGTTCTGTGCAAAAATAGTTGAAATGTTGAAAAGTGGTTAAAAACGCCATGCACCAGCACGTGAAAGCTGAACTTGAAACCGCGAAGGGTGAATATCCCTTTAAAATTTTAATCTCATAATTTTCTGGCGTTCGAATGATCTTCAAATCGAAACTTCCACGCGATCCTACATAAGATCTCGGCATAGTTAGGAACTGAATTCGAGTTTGTGAAGCACCTGCTTAGGCAGGAAACATTCTCCTGAAATTTTCAGCATCCTAACTCTTTTAGCTCCCGAATTGATTATTCTCGTTAAAACGTTGAAAATTTGCGAAGGTGCACGTGGGCGGGAAATGCCATGTTAAAATTTCAGCTTCCTAGATTTCGTGGTTCCAGAGGTAATTTAACCGCAATAACTTCCACGGGACCGTAGGTGGTATTCGAGAGCGCGGGAACGCTGAATTTGAATTTGCAAGGTCTTGCGTGAGCAGCGGGTCATTACCTTAAGATTTCAGCTTCCTGGATTCCGTAGTCTCAGAGATAATAATTTGCACGTCCAGACATTCACGGGGCCGTACTTCTTACCCGCAGGTACGGGGAGGCTGAATTTAAATTTGCGGGGTAGTGCGTAGGTGTGGAACGTTCCCCAAAATTTTCAGCTTCCTAGTTTTTGGGGTTCCCGAGTTGAAAATTGCGGATAAGTTGCTGCGGACACACATACACACAAACACACATAGAGACAATCCCGTGACAATATGCGCTTTGTACTGCTGTTATACAGCACAAAACGCATAAAAATTATAAAAAGCTGTACCGCTGCAAGTGAATTTGCACCTTTCAAACCACCGGGCAGAATGACAACATCGAATTTGTGTTTCTTCACATCCGACAATGCTTTGTCCGGCACAATAACAACTTGTCGCGAGCACGTCACTGGATTCTTACCTGTCAGACCGGCTACTGTGACCTACAAAAACAAGGTCGTAAGTAAATTCAATCGATTTTGGTTTAAATTCGATTTTCCTCGGATTTAAACCAAAGTTGAGTGAAAATCGAAATAAATTGATTCGAAATCGGATAAAAATCGAATGAATTCCAAAAAACTACAGCGAAAATGACGGAGTGTGAAAAAAATGCATGCAAATCAGTTCAAGACGGAAGAGATTAGCACCGTACTTACGGTATTTCTTACAAAACTCGGGCCAGGATACCACTGGTAATCTTGGTGGATTTAGAATCGGAAACAAAACTTCTGAGGGAAAAAATCAATAGTGACAATGATCCTGAACCATGGAAAACCTAAATTACGGGGTGTCACGTAATGATTTATTGCATTTATTAAAAACTGAACAAAGAGCCACTGTATCATTAGGATGCAACACTCCTTCTCCCCGGATGCACACATGCTCCCTTTAGCCATGTAATTCTTGTGATCTGTGGTCACTCGGGTAAAAAAACACTCCTCCCTATCTTCAGTTTCTAGTATTTTTATTCTTCAAACAACCCTGTTTTACGGAGCTTCGGTTCTCCAAAGATTCGCCACCCTTTTTTGTTCTTCCTTCCCACTGCAGCTTTCTTTGTATACCTTTGAACTGCTTTCTACAATTATAAATAAATAAATAAATAAATATTTGTATACATCTACAACTAGGCTTTTCTGAACTTACGCACTCCATTAACACAAATACGTACAGGAGTATGGCAAGCACAACAGTCCAACTTTTAGGGTCACGATAGGGCTTTTCTTCTGCGAATGCTTCAAAAACACAAACTGCTCATTAAAGGAAGGGTGGAGGGGGGGG